AGTTATATATGGAAATATGCAAATGAAATATTAAAAGTAATTAATTATATGATGTTGTATGTTTATTATTTCACTGCAGCTATAAATCCCGACTGCCTTTTCTCTGAGTGATATAGTGCCAAAATTGAGTTCATCAATCAGATTTAACAAAAAAAAAAAAAAAAAAAAAAAAAAAGAGCATTATGAGAACACTTTCCCACTGGAGAGAACAAAGGCCCTAACTTAGAACATCTCCCATTGTCAGCAACTCAAATGTTCTCACTTTTCTAGAAGTAAATTACCACCTACCTTAAACCATGGAAGACCTGGAAATTACATGTCTTAAATACCTATAAAGAACTGAACAGTTTTCATGGTTTTCCTGGTACTTGGACAATTTCAATTACTGTAGAGAATCTTACTGCCTAACCACTGAGAACATTTAATGGCCCAATAAGAAAAATGGGAAGAATTAATGGCACGCACCAAGAGACAGAAGGCCTCACACAACAGAACAAGGACTGCACACAATTCTCCTGCCATGTGATATGCTGCCTGCAGGAACAAATATCAAGGAATAAATCTCAGCAAAAAAACATGCTTGGGATGAACTCAACAACTATGTCACTGAAAGCAAAATAATAATAATAGCAACAAGGAATTAAACCCTCAAATAAGGAAATTCATTATATTGACATCAGAATTTGGATACTGCATAGTAAGTGAGTTTGAGAAAACACATTACAAGGCATTGCAGAGATGAAATACTGAACACCTGCTTATTAAGAAAACAGTCGACCTCCTCTTGTGCAAGAGGAGAGCTGAGGTTCTTAGAAGCATAAATGTATGACCATGCAATTAAGCATTGTGCCACAGTCTTTACACAACACCCAGCAAGGTCAATTGCAATTGTAGAGACAACCTTAATTATTCTAGCATTTGAATTTTCCATTTGTCACCTTTCCATATTTCTCATGCTGATTTCATGCGCAATTTGGAGGGCAGGAATCCTTATTAATATAATGAAACTTCTGCTATATTCCCCACAGCATATAAGGCTGGTCAAAGACAAGATGGGACAAAGACATTTCCCACTTTCACTCTCAGAACTAAGTATACAGTAGTGCCTGAAGTGATTCATACTTCATCTCAAGCACGGCTTAAATTCAAACCTAAATTATGTCTTGAAGCCAAGCCATTTGGGCAGAGGACCATGCTTACATCCTTTTTGCTTGAAACGCACCATTGTGAGGATAGTCTTGAGCTTTGATACTTTTCAGCATGGGCTCAGCAATGCCAACTCTCTAAACCATGTGTAGGATTTGCAGGAAGCCAGACTACAGGCATTGTCTCACTAGTAGCCAAGACAGGTAAAGTATTAATTACAGAGCATATACTAGGGGTCTCTCAGGCCTGGATTCTACCACAGTAGTGGAAATAATTAATTATGTAAATAAGTAGTTATGGATCATTACATGAAGAAAGTAACTAGCTTTCACTGCTGAGGTGTGCAGGTATATAACACAAACAAGGTCCTCTGTTTACAGAAGGCAGCATTCCACCCAAGAGCACTGGAAACAAGTTGACTGCTCTCACACAGCAAGCTGATAGTACTTGGTATTAGCAAGGGGTATTAGCTATGCGCAGCCTCACCACTGAGGAGCTGACAATGGACTCTGACCTACCAAGCACAGGGGCACTCAAGGCCTCTTGACAGTCTTGTCTGTGTGTGGCACCTCTCCCCAGAGACAGCTGTGGTATGGCCCAGATCTGTGGGGCAGTAGTGTTGAGATCAAGCCCATTTCAGATCAGAAAGCAAGCTGCATACATGCACCCTGGGGTAAAAGAAAGCTGGAGTATACCCCACTTATGTTTTTTACATTCTTTCAATCCTTTTTCAGTATCAGATGCTAGACTTTAATATTGCGTAGGAGCTTGCAGGCAACTGGTTGACCAGTTTTTTCAAAATGTCCTGTCCAAATGTCATCCTAAAAACTTGATTTCCAAATGAAAATGTTGCATATTTTTTATGAATAAATACTGGAGTACTGCACAATTCATTCTACCATTTCCCTAAGTTGTTTCTCTGCATAGCTGCCATGCTGGGCTGAGGGCATATGTATCTCAACTGAACAAATTAGATTTAAAACCTGAAGTTAACACACACTGGAACATATCTGTGGTATCTGTCATCATTCCCTTCAAGCTCTACCATAGCTCCCACGTTTCCTGAAGCCCTAAACAAGAGAGTGCATTCATCACACTTGTTGAAGAGCCAAAGCAAAAAGTTCAAAACAACATGAGCCTATCCTTTCTGTACGCCTCACCTAGAGCAATACTAACTGATGAAGCTATGATTCCTTGGCTTGTTTCCCTGACACCCTGCAGTTTCACTAAGGGAGTAACTTTGTGACTGTGGGTTCATGACCTAGGACACACACTTTCAAACTTGTATTCTGCATAAATAATCTGTTCCTAGTCACTCACTCAACTCACATGCTCATTTCTCACTCTTTTATTGGGAAGATTGCTCATACTTAAAACTTCTTGTATTTAATTCATACCTGCTAACAACTTGTGTATGTATACATACCAGATGGTCTGTTTCAGTTTTCTCCTTCCTTACATTTCTGCTTTTACTGCAGTTGGCAAAGAAATTAAGGTAATTTTTTACATAAACAAGTAATGGAAGAAATAATCCAACCCTTTTTCTATTCTTTCAACATTTGTTTCGCATTTCTAGCCACCAATTCCAAATACTTGGAGACAGTCTTGTATATCATCAAATCCACCTCTGTCAGGACAAAGTAACCTCTATCTTTCACAGAATTCTCAATCTTAAAAAAAAACAAACAAACAAACAAACAAACAAAAACAATGAAACAGCTTCTTTCTACATCTTTTCCAATTCTGCAGAAAACAATTTCATCTTTCAAATGCATGCTACCTGGGATTATCCCCAGGAGAAAGAAAACCACAGCATGTGTTTCCACAAGCTGGATGCAATCCCCAAAGCAGGACTTGCTATTGATAATCTCAAACGTAACCCACCACATCACTAGAGGAACTGCAATCCAGAGCTCTGACTAAGGTCAAACGACATTTCTCCAAGTATCCCTGTTTAGTGTCTCTGCAAAGACAACCCTTTGCCATATTGCACAGAAGCCAATGCACTTCCAAGAGACTTCACCACCCAGTACTCAGCCTGACTCAGCAAAGTCTAGAGAGCTGACAACATCCCAGGGAAATTCCCTTTGTTTCATCCAAACTCAGGCTGTATGCATTCTACTCATGAACATGTGAATTCTAATCTAGATCACCTTGGATTTGTAACAGAGGGCATCTCAGATGTCTTAAATGCTTTTACATAAGTTTGCCCAACAGCAAGAAAACATGCAACTCCCATCTACCTCTCAGAACTCTTCAGTGGTCTAGCAGAAGAGACAGTGGCCAGTGAAAACAGGGAATTAGCCCATCTGCCTGCAACTCAGAAATTCACTACTCTGTTTTTTTCCTTAGTGTCTACTGCTGACCTATGTCACTGCTTACAAACACTTCCACCCTATAAACATACATTAAACATATTCTGCACACACTGATATGTTTATATTAATATATTACACTATCTAGATATATACTCATTAACTACATTATAAAAACAACAAATTTTGACCAGGTTGGGGTTCTGAATCTGTCTTGTCTGGTAACTAATACCCCATTTTAAATGATGACATGAGTACCTTTCTCTGGCAGTTGACATAGGTTGGCAATTCCCTGTAAATACTTTATTTTCTTAGAAGCATAAGCCCAAATTTCATTATTTACAGAACAATTCTTGATACCTGTTTAAAAAATGTGCTATGACACCAAATCAATTCATCCTTATCCATGCCTCCCTCCTGAATTATAAGGATAAGGTCAGAAGTTTGACCCAGTGCAGACATAGCTTTGTTTACAGACAGCCACTCAGGTCTGTGATGAGACTTTGAAGCTTTTTCCCAGACATGTTCTTAGGGCACTGTAACCTATGCAGAGGTAGGCACTGCACAGGGAACATCTCTTATGAGGAGCAGGCCTTCCTCATTCTGTCTACAGGTATTTTCTATTGTTCTTTGGCATGTCAATTAAGTCAACACGCAGACCTTCATCACCAGAAACCCCTCCTCCAACCATTACCCACATTTCTTTCCAAGCTGTCTGAGCTACTGGGCCTCTTCCTATAAAAACTAAGTTACTCTAAAGAGGCAGTTTTGACCCAGTCTTGAGGGTGAGGCAGAAAAACTGCCTTGTCCCTCCACACATCAATCCCTAAAAGCTAATGTACAGTAACAATGGGTTCAGCTACCTTAAATTAAGCTCATTTCTCTACTAATGGTTTGTCTTGTACATTTCTTTCCAATATCATTCTGAATCCTCACAACTATTCATTTCCTTCTCATTCCAAATTGTGTCATTACAAGAATCAACTTCAGTAGAAGAGAGTGCTTCCCAACAGTTAAGTCTATCAGATAAATGAATCTCTCTCTCTTTCAGATGAATGCTCTGTGAGTAGTGGAAGCCTAAATATGAAAAGTCGAGTAGGTTTGTCCCATTTTACCTGTGAACACGAAGAAAGCCTTGGAACCAATACAGAACATACGTGGACTGTATCTCTCAGAAACATGCTGAATTATGACCCTTCTCACAAACCACAAATTCAAGCTTGGAAAGCACCCACATAGGTACAGAGAAGCCTCTAACATTTAAAATAATGTGAGCGCTTAACAGACAATGAAAAAACAGGCATTTTTCTCCCCTCATCTTTACTCTCTTGTTCAACTTTGCAGGGCTTTTCTGTGTGGAAGGTGTGTTTAATCAGGGACAAAGGTCAAGGGACAGTGAACAAGATTAGAAAGTTCATTGTGGCAAAGTAATTACCTGGCTCTAGCCAGGTGCTCAGGGAATTGGTCAGAAATGAGCTGAAAACAATAGTTCTCCACTAAGCATTGAGTGGAGCTCAAGCTAAAAAGCTGGATCCCTACCTTGTCTCGAATACCTTGTCTCATAACTTCTCTTTCAGCCTCCATCTTGGCATATTTGGCTTTTCTCTCTTCTTCTTCTTGCCTGAGGGCTTCCTGTCGTTCCTCTTCTTTCTTGGCAGCATCTGGGTCTTTCTCCTCATCCCCACCCAGCATCTTCCCCATGTCTTTGGTAGCCCCTAGAGAAAGAACAAGAGAAATTCAGCCCTGTAAGAATGTAGGAAAACCACCATGATGCCAGCTCTCTCTTCCCCACACTCACGACCTTCTTCCACTTCCTCTGCATTTGGAAAGGTTTCTCCTTCCACTGAGGAGGAGGCACATTCCCCAGAGAGGCAAGAGGTGGGCAAAGCACCCAGCCTGACCAGGGGAGTTACCTGGCACTGGTGAGAGAAGCATGGCAACAAGAGGACAACAAAATCTACATCTGTAGATTTGCATGATGGCAACACAATTGGTTTGCAGTCCTGAAGGGGGCAAGCTTCCATCTACACAATGTTTTCACTCTATCAGCTGTCATGTAACTGAAGATTGATTTTGGAGGGTCTTCAATGTAACAGGCAGGGGATACATCCAGAAAGAAATGACAGCAGGGCTAGGAAAGGAATTTGAAATCTCAACTGCAGGGATGAATAATCACAGTCTTAATTGTTGTCAGAAATTATGCATCCTGTGACAGGTATGAGCACACACAGTAGTAGCAAACATCTGGAATTGCTGATGATTTGTAGGCTCCTGACATGTATCAGAAAGAAGCAGCATCTCTGCATGTCTCTTATTTACGCTTGGACACCACTGCCTCTAATGCTTAGTACGTAGGTGGGATCCTGGCTCTTCCTGATTCTCTTTCTACCCCTGCATGCACACTGGTCCCAAATTTTCAGCCCCTGTGTGCTCCTGAGACAGCTCTGTTACTGTGCAAAGCCCTTGCACAACCATGCAAATGGGGAGGCTTCTTCCATGCTCTTCTGTCCCCACAGGGCTGACTAGAGCCATCTACCCTGTATTTCAGAGGCACTTTTACTGTCAAATGACTAGCAATCATCCTACTTGGGAGGAAAGAAGGTGCTGGGAAAGGGGAAGGGTATTTACTGTGCATCATCATCATCGGGACACTGGAGGGCTGCAGCAGGATCAAGCCCAGTTACATGGATGAAGTGAAGACAACTACCCTTTGGGAGTTGTGTTGGACTTTGCCTGGAGCAGAAAAACACCCTGCATCATTTACTAAAAAAGGTACCTTCACCCTGGAAGAATACTGTAGCTGGTTGATTACTGCCCTTAGTTCCTACGTCAGGACAGCTCCAGACTGGCTCCTTGCTGACTGAGATTTAATTAAGTTAATCTAAAACAGCTCTGTTGTAGCACACACTCACATGTACGTAGGTGTGTAGATACTTAACATCTTTTGCCTTGCACAAGACAAAGTCATCTGGCTGTTTCAAAGGCTCAGGCTGGAAGGAGACACTGTCAAAGTCCTTCCAAATAATTGTTGGCTTTATTAGAGGCTAGGTGAAGAGAAGAGGTTTTCACAACCCCTTATCCCTCTCTTATAAATTACCCCTTCAGTCTGTCAATAGTGCTGGAGGACTGTGTTTGTTCTTGCTTTCCATGTCAGTTCTTGGGATGGCGATGATGAAACCTTGGTTTATGGAAGTATACAGGGGGAGAAACATCTGCAGCCTGTCAGGATGATTCCTCCTGAATTTCCCCAGAGATGACAGTTATCAGATTAACTACTGCCTCTAACAACCACCAAGGAATTTGTCAAGAGGTGAGCAGATATTGTGGCTTTTCCCCTTCACATTTCTTTTCCAGGTCACATGTTTTCCTAGACCCTTAAACTGAAAGCAACCCTGAATCAAAAGCAACCCTCCAGTCCCCCAAAATGTGATAGAGGAATGGCCTCATTACATCTCCCATAGAGAAGCACAGGAAAACTGATAATTTTATCCCTGACAAGATCTGGTTGTTACAGATGTTTTTTTTGCCAGGTGGGAAATAATAACAGTAAACAGGACTATCTCCATTCAGCTAGCTAACCACAAGCCTCTTGACACTTCCATCATGTTGGGAAATGTGGATAAAAAGAGGAAGACTCCCAGGGACCCCAAACAAACCCCAGCTGGCATGTTCATGGTCCCTAGCTAATGTCAGCCTTCCTCTACTGTCATTTTTCATCGTCCTCTGCAGGGCCAGAGTAATACAGGTAGTCTTGCATTTTGAGGGCAAATTTGCTCAGACCATTTGGTGAATTTTTTCCTGGGATGCAAGGAAGGCTAACTGAAATTGCAAGCAAGACATAATTTCATAGCAAGCAGAAAGACAATGAAGACTAGTTGGGTCACGCATCCTCCTTAAACAGCCTTACTGTGCATAAATCATTGATGACTGTCCTGCTTTCACCTGAGATAGAGTTAATTTTCACAAGAACCTGGGAGGGGGCACAGCCAGGACAGCTGACCTGAACTAGCCAAGGGGATATTAGATACCATATGATGTCATGGTCAGTATAAAGCTGCAGGGGCTAGCTGGTGGGTGGAGGGATTGCAGATCTGAACGGACTGAGCATTGGGTTCCAGGTGGTGAGCAATTGCATTGTTCATCACTTTCTTTATACATTCTTTAATGAGTATTATTGTTATTATTACTTATTCCCTTCCTGTGTTATTCTATTAAACTTTCCTCGAACTCATGAGGTTTTACCTTTTTCTTCCAATTTTCATCCCCATCCTATCAGAGGGGGGAGGAATGAACAAGCAGCCCTGTGGTGCACAGTTGACAGCTGGGCCTAAACCACAACAATGACCAATGCCAGTAACACCCTTGATCTCTGGATTCTTCTCAAAAAATACTTTCACTGATGATCAAACTTATTTGGGTTCAATAATCTATCAAGTTTAGCTCTTTTTAGCCTCTCTCCACGTAGAGTTACCCAGACAGCGTAATACAATAGTTATGAAGCAGAATTCAGCAGCAGAAAGAGGTTATTTTTTTCCCTCTAAGCACTACTTCTAGGCTATCATTAAGTTATAACATCAGCTCAGCTCATCATGTAGAGAATGAAAATGTATAGACTTTGTTTTATCTCTTAGACAAGACCAAGATTTTGAATACTTTAGGCACACAGGACACATACAAGAAAAATAATGTAGTTTCAGGATCCTCACAGGTTCTCTTAATTCACTCCTGGATTCAAAGTCACCTTCTAAATGTACAGAATGCTGCACTGTAGCATCACTGTTAGCTAACTGGAAGTAAATGTATTATGGGAAGCAAATTTCTACACAACATTTTGGCTCTGATCTCTTCTGTTACTTTCTGTATAGAAAAGCTTTTTTTTTCTCTCATTTGTTCTTCATCCTAAACTTTAGATTTCATTGCTAATGTTCCCTGGATAACAGTTTCTGGTTTTAGTGGTTCAGCAGTGGAGGCTCCAGAGAATTCATTTGCATGCAACTGAGATGCTGCAGTTACAGGCACAAGCAGAAGGAAAGAGCAGAAGTTCTGTCTTCAAGCCTACTTTTGAAGCTTCCAATGAAACAGGGGGAAGGACACTATTACTGAATCTGTTCATATGATAAGCCTGGCTCTTTTTGTCTTCTTTTATATCCCAACCTTAACACCTATCTTGACATAAAGAGAAGACAGAGAATGTCAAAATAATCACTAATCAGTAAGAAGATTCAATTAACAGTATTTCCAACATCTCTAGACAAGGCCATGGGAAGTACATAGAAATGGCTAAAGCTCCAGAACAACATTTGCAAACTGTTACCTTTATGGCTCTAATAAACAGTCCTGCTCCTGAAGGATAAAAAACTTCCATGAGAGAAGCATCTCAGAGGTGGCTTGTTTAGAAGACAAGTGGCATGTCAGGCTTTCCAAACTAATAGTCATTCCCTTGATCCATAAGGGTTAAAGAACTAGGCAATCAGGTGTTAAGCCAAATACTGTGAGCATACTCAGATACACTTTAACATGAGATTTGCTGGTTTAAGTTGTCATCAGCCGTCTGAAAAATAGTAATTCAGTTGTTTGGGAACATGTGGGAGACATTCTCCAGTCAAACAGCTGGAAAGCAGGTCAGCTGTCGGGAAAGCAGTTTTGCAGTAAGGTTTTGGGGTCCTGGTGGACAATAATCTGACCATGAGCCAACAATGCATCCTTGCAGCAAAGAAGGTCAACAGCCTCCTGGGCTGCATTACAAGGAGTGTTGCAAGAAGATTGAGGGATCCTTCCCTTCTACTCAGTCCTGGTGATACAAAATTTAGAGTCATGTTGCCAATTCTGGGCTCCCAGATACAAGAGAGATACAGAGCTACTGGAGTGAGCCAGCAAAGGACCATGAAGATGATTAGGAGACTCAAGGATCTCTTATACAAGGAGAGTCTGAGAGAACAGGGACTTGATTACCCTAGAGAAGAGAAGGTTCAGGGGGATCTCAGTAGTGTGCACAAATACTTGATGAAAGGGAGTGAGTAACAGGGAGCAGGAATGGGTCACTTATTTTTGAAGCATCGTTTCAGAACCAGAACTAAGAATATTTTATTGATATCACTGGAAAGAGACCTTTTTCATCGAGACCATAATGCAAAGCTTATGTCGGGTATACAAGAAGCCCCTTCCACATTTTAAGGCTCATGAAAAAGGTGAATTTGGCATTACAAATGTCTTGGTTTGGGCCTGGTTGGCAGCCAACCACAACACAGCAGCTCCCTCTCCCTTCTCCCCCGGCAATGAGAAGGGACAGAGAGCCAGGTTTGGGGTTCGAGATAGGACTGGGATGGGGAAAAGTTCCCTTTTATGATCAAGAGCAAAAGGCAGACTCGTTAGGGGAAGAAAAAAAAACCCATACATTTATTACAGACACTAACAACACATAACAGAGTAAGACAGTGAGCAGCATTGCCACATCTTGAGAACACCTTCCCCCCACCCCTCCCTTCCTCCCGGGCTCAGTTCTGCTCCCGATATCTCTACCTCCTCCCCCAGTGGCACCGGGGCAGGGAATGGGGGGTGCAGTCAGCACTGCCACTTCCCTTATCTTCAGTGAGGGGAGTGTCCGGAACTTGTTCCTCCTGCTCCATCGTGGTCCCCCTCTCACAGGAGACAATCCTCCACAAACTTTCTCCAACATGAGTTCCTCCCACAGGCCGCAGCGTTCCCCCCACTGCTC